TCATTCTCCAGGGTCGCGATTTCCCAAGTTCCGAATTTTTCAGAATCACAGTTTTCCACTTTCCCAAGTTTATAGGTTCTAAAATTACTGTCTTCATCATTTTTCATGCTTCGAATTTCCCAAGTTCCTAATTCTTTAGTGTCTGAATTTCACAAGTTTTCAATTTTTGAGGATCTGAATTTCCTCAGTTACGAATTACCCAAGATTTAAATTTTCCAAGGTCCGAATTTCCCAAGCTCCCAATTTTTCAGGGTAGGAATTGCTCAAGTTCCTAATTTTCCGGGGTAGGAATTTCTCGAGTTCCCAATTTTTCGGGGTAGGAATTTCCCAATTTTCCAGGGTTTCAATTTCCTCGGTTCGAATTTCCCAAGTTCCTAATTTTCCAAGGTCCGAATTTCCCAAGTTCGAAATTTTCCAAAGTCTGATTTTCGTATGTTCTCAATTCTAAACTCGCTGAAAAGCCATCATAGTATCATACGAAACCTGGAATGTTTCAGGAGACGTGGCTACAAACGACAGTTTCACCGAAATTCCGGACGGGATTTCAATCTTGTCCACACGATAAAAGTTAGTGATCGAATTAGACACGAATTCCAGTGACGTTCATTCAATCCATCCATGAAAAGTACGTCGACAGAGACTCTCGTGAAATCGACCTCGAGTCGACTGAACGGGAAAGCATTTCGGTTTCAGTAAAACCCGCTGACCGTCCACTACACTTCCGGCGCATTTACAAACCGCACCACCGTTTCACGAAAATTCAGCGTATGACTTTCAACCAGCAAAAATCTTCAAAATAATTCACCGCTTTTCCTTGTTTAAAAGATTTAGTACCAATTTAACTACACTTCAATACTACATTTCAATGTAATTATTTGGCATTTAACAGCCTAGAAAATAAGCATCGAATTGAAAAATGAAGAAATTGAAACGTCGAGGTGAATATTCGAAATATTAAGATTACAAGAGAAATTAGTGTTACAGTAAGGATTATTTTCAGACACGAGGTTCAACGAAACTTATCGCTTTATCTCTTGAACCATCCTTCGGTCGTTAAACGTTATCTATTTCGTGGCAGGAGGCAACGCTGCCAGCGGAATAGAATTTTCGTAAAGTGCATAAGATGATCTCCTAACGTCTTCTCATTCTTCTTCACTTGGATATTAAGGTCACTCCGGAATATAAGAATCTCACGAAAGAAAGATAAAACGAAACGGAATAAAGGCCCCTCGTCCAGGTCCCGTCTTATCGTTGATTGTACTACTTCGCGTCGAATTTTATTCCGCGCCAGAACGTTCACGCGGCCAAAAGAACAAATAAAGGAAACTCTTAGAAAAGTAATTCATACTATATCTCTCACTGACTGTAATAATCTTCAAAGTAGATAAGAAGACATCTATTTTCAAAAATCTATTCTTTCACAGAATATTATGCTTAGCTCTTCATTACTATGAAGGTATAAAACAAGAATTTAATAGACCATAAACAAACGTGAAACATTATGAATCTTGGATCCTAGAAGGTGGACAATCCCAATCTCGGAACGCTAACTTCACATAACCCAGAACCCTTTCTAAAAAACGAGATATCTATGACCTAGACTTTCGGATCAACCAGGGTATAACCCAGAGTTTTGCCTGAGAGGAATCCAACCCATGATCTAGAGCTACAAAAAATAACCGCAGTTAAAATATTAAATTAGACCTAACTCCAGAACCTAACCCCTTAACCTATCACCAAGACCTAGCTTCAGGACCTAACCCCTAAACCCAACCAGATCATAATCCGAAACCTTGGCTAAGAAGACCCACGTCCATGATCTAGAGTCCCAAAAATCAGATCTAGAGTTACAATATATACATACCGGAACAGAAACCCAACCCAGATCTAACTCCTACCGAACCTAGAACCGTCCACACGTAGCCAAGATTCCAGTGTCGCCAGAACAGAAAGAAATTTCCGCGAGGCGTTCTCATCGTCGGTCGCGGCTTATCACTGATCGCGGCAGCTTAGGGCGATTTTGAAGGGGTAGCAGGGGTGGGGGGGAAGGGAGTAAGCTTCGTCACGATAGGTGGTCGGACGAAACGAAGCGATGTGCGTAGATACTGTCTCTCCTCGTACGGCAACGAGTGCTCTTTCTGCGAAATTGGATCCTAGCCGCGGCGTAAGTTGTGGATAACGAGTACTCGGATTTAGAGATTTCGCGAACGGAGTGGCGGGAGAGTAGCAGGAGGAAGGGGGAGGGAGTGGCTGGTTACGAAGGAAGCGGAATCCGCGTGGAATCGATACCCGCCGAAATGTATTCCCGACTGTGGCCGAGCCATGGCTCGATCCTCCTGGGAAGAATTCATTTCCGGCTTTGCGTGTAATGTTTGCCGGCGGTTACCACCGAGAAATAGCCGGTGAAACGAAGTCGAATTTGGCGTAAGGATTTGTAAATAAACGCCGTCCACGACCGAGCGAATAAGAGAATTTGTATTGTTCGATCGACCGTAACGCCGAAGAGGCTTTGATCTCTGTTAGGGCAACGAAGGTCCGATATCCTCTTGTTGTCCGAATTCCGTTCGACCCGGATGAAAATTAAACGAGCTGGTGCAATTTCGTTCGACCTAATTGCGCGTGATATGTCGGAAAAAATAATACGCCCCCCCCCCCCCCACCTGTGGGTGAACTGAAATTTTCAAACATCGGAAATTGGATAGGTTTTTCGAGAAAAATTTCCCCGCCGGTCCGGCCAGTAGAATTATTACTCGGTTAAATGTATGCTCGTGAAAAAAAATTCGCCGGCCCGTCTCCACTTCGAATAACCCCACGCTTTGTTGTAGCTCAATTCTCGAAACCCAATTGATTTTGTTTGAATAGCGCTTTTTCCAATTTAGCTCGGTATGCCGCACCCCCTCTGACCAATCTTCCAACGTTCGCGCAGGCTCGTTGTGTACCCTTTACGGGAAGTAAGATTAAACGGTGGCGTGGATATGCAGCTTGCTTACGGACCAGCTGAACGTATTTAATCTGCAAACTCATTCAAGGAAAATGTTTTTCAAAGTCAACAGATTATTTCTACCTGGATTGAACTTTGCTAAGTCAGGCTTAGATTCTGTTTGAGCCTCGTATAATGTAGGTTCGAACTCATCACAGGCTGAGCCTTGCCTCAAGACTATTTAGCCACATTATACCTCAGTTTTATATTTCTGTCTGCTTATTTGTTATTTACGTCAGATAGTTGGGAAAATTAGACCTCTACGAGGCCAAACCTTACATCTAGACCTAACGTCTGGTAACGTTAGACTTAACATCTAGACCTAACATCCAGACCTAACATGATTGGTGACCTAACTTGGTGAACCTAACTGATTAGGTTCACCAAGCCTAACCTGGACTAGCATCTGAGCCTACCAGATTTAGGTTCGTTTAGAAAAAGCTACCAAAAATGAACACCTACTTTACAAGTAACCTGTAAAATGCGCACGAAAGACACGTATACATGTGAATCGATCGTTCGACCTGAGTAACGTGGGCCCATGATCGTAACGATACCCTGCACAGTGTATCTGTTTTTTTCCGTGGCCGTTATTGGTTTCTCCGGCAAGACGGATGCCGGAATAAAGAAAAATCGATGCGTCCGCCGGGACAATCTGTTCCCGTTTATCGAGTGTTTTAATAGACTAGTTAAAAAATTACCCCGACGCTGTTGGTGCACCGACGTCGGTTAACAGGCCATACCCCTTCGAGGGGCATGATAGAGGTGTTTGTCGCTCGTATTTAGATTACGAAGCTTTTACCAAGGAGAAGAAAGGCAAATACGCGTTGCCGGCCGATCGATTTTCCTTTAACGATATCGAGGGTTCGAACGATGCGATTGGGAACAGAAGCAGGGGCCAAAAAGGCAACAAATTGGTAGATCTTCTTTACGTGTTGTTGAGTTTAAGTTACGACGATAGATACGTCCGATTTATATTCAAGTAATTACTTCGGTTTATCCTACCAGATGGTTGCTGCATGAAAAGTGCAGTGGAATCGAACAGTATGAAGTAATCGGAAATGTAGAATGATGTTATTCCGTACACGTGTTGCTTTTCGAGAAAATCCAACTTCAACATTAGCCGAGCACGTCCGACCACTGCTTGATATTTCTACATGAAATTAATACAGGCGGTCTCAATTTGTCTACCACCAATCCTGTCTTCTAACTATTAATTTACATATGATAATTAAGAACTGTTCTTGTTGTTTATCACTTAATTAGTCACTTTTGTTCACTATATACGTAAATATGTTAAAAGGCAGGGAAATTCTACCGAGGTCCTGAAGTTGCATTCTTAATTTTTTCTTTTTCAGTAAATCAGGATGAAATCAGAATCTTTCGGATCTTCCTACAGTACCTTCCGGTTTAGTGCTCATTTCCGTACCCTGGATTAGTATCAACGAATCATCTCCACCACTTTCCGAGTCAGCTCGGCACATTTGGAGCTAGAAATTTCTTCAACGCGACAGATCGATAACAAATGAAATTTCGTGTATCTCAGTCACCCATAGTCTGTCCGGAGACCCCTTCTCACTTCCAAAAGTCGTAAAAGAAACTGTACGTTCCCCCGCAAGAGTGTCCACAAGCGAATCCGAGTCGTGGACACTAATCCGAGAGATTCTGTACGTATCCAAGTCCCTCCTCTCGTCCACGAAAATCGTCCACGGATCTGAAAGCTTCCCTCTCCCTAACAACCCCCCCCCCCTTGAATTTCTGTAGAAACGTTTTATATTCTACTCTCCGTTTGGCACGTCGCCCCGGGGGCGCTTTGTCAATGTGGGGCGACGCAAGAAAGGAAGGGTGAAGTTAATTAATAAAAGCTTGAACGAAACGAGCGATGAGGGTGAGACGAAACCGGAGAGAGTGAAGGGAGGGGGTTGGTCACTCGGCGAATAAAGCGATGAAATACGATCCATGCATCGTTTCATATGGGTAGGAAACCGATATTTCGACTTGCGATTCAAACGAGACTCACCTGTCGTGGATCAGGAACTTATCATCTTTGGTGTCGATGCAGACACCCTTGCTGGTCATGTTGGGTCCGTTCACCGTCACCAGCTCGTCGTTCCCCGACTGAAACCACCGACCGTTCCACTCCGTCGGGAACTCGCAACCTGGAAACAGAAAGAAACACTTGGGGAACACAGTTTGGAATTTTTACATTTTTTTAATCTGCTCGGGGCCACGGTCGACAAATAAAAAGTGCGCTATATAATCCGTCCGATGGAGTATATTCAAAGGGACGATCGGACCGAGGGACGTTTTCGGGAGGTGGAAAACGGTGTGACGGTTCACTCGGCCTGTTTGAAGACCGCTCGATCGGTTCTTTTGTCGGGGCCAAGCGCAAAGTTTCGACGACAGTTTTGTTTCGTTATTCCCGCGTTTTGTTCACGGTCGGTGGCGTGCATCGATGGATGGTATGTTCTTTATGCCGTCACATTTTTTCGTTTAAACATACGGTGTATTAAATCATTGCAATGTATTTCAGCTAATAATACGAACTGTCAGTTGAAGGACAAGTCACATTGGATGTAATCGCGACAGAGTTAGGCAAAAGTTTATCAACACAGGGTATTTTAAATTTCAACCAGTCGCACAGACGTTAAGGCCTAGGTCCATTTAGGCCTCTAGTCAACCTCATTTTTAAATCTAGTGACTAGAACCTTCAGTCCAGAGTTAAGTAAAGCTTCCGTAAATCTGGTTTAAAATGGACCCAATCATTTGTCTGAAGATTCATCTAAACTAATCCATTAGTACAAGTAACCTAGACAGTTATCCCAGAATTTATTGCAGTTGGTTGTTTACTTCAAGAAATTAGCTACACTGATCTAAAGATCTATAATTCTCTACCAGATGGCTAGCTGGTCTCACATCTCAGGCTACCCCAGCCATCATCCTCTGATGATTCATCTAAACTAATCCAGTTGTATAAGTAACTTGAAAGACAGTTAGCCTGGAATATATTTCAAACGGTTATTTACTTGAAGAAATTAGCTATCCAAGGTCTACCATAGTCTACAAGAGAGCTAGCTGGTCCCAAGCTCCCAACATCTCAGACTACCTCAGACATCATCCTCTGATGATTCATCTAAACTAATCCAGTTGTATAAGTGACTTGAAAGACAGTTAGCCTGGAATATATTTCAAACGGTTATTTACTTGAAGAAATTAGCTACCCAAGATCTATCATAGTTTACAAGAGAGCTAGCTGGTCCCAAGCTCCCAACATCCCAGGCTACCTCAGCCATCATCCTCTGATGATTCATCTAAACTAATCCAGTTGTATAAGTGACTTGAAAGACAGTTAGCCTGGAATATATTTCAAACGGTTATTTACTTGAAGAAATTAGCTACCCAAGATCTATCATAGTTTACAAGAGAGCTAGCTGGTCCCAAGCTCCCAACATCCCAGGCTACCTCAGCCATCATCCTCTGATGATTCATCTAAACTAATCCAGTTGTATAAGTGACTTGAAAGACAGTTAGCCTGGAATATATTTCAAACGGTTATTTACTTGAAGAAATTAGCTACCCAAGATCTATCATAGTTTACAAGAGAGCTAGCTGGTCCCAAGCTCCCAACATCCCAGGCTACCTCAGCCATCATCCTCTGATGATTCATCTAAACTAATCCAGTTGTATAAGTGACTTGAAAGACAGTTAGCCTGGAATATATTTCAAACGGTTATTTACTTGAAGAAATTAGCTACCCAAGATCTATCATAGTTTACAAGAGAGCTAGCTGGTCCCAAGCTCCCAACATCCCAGGCTACCTCAGCCATCATCCTCTGATGATTCATCTAAACTAATCCAGTTGTATAAGTGACTTGAAAGACAGTTAGCCTGGAATATATTTCAAACGGTTATTTACTTGAAGAAATTAGCTACCCAAGATCTATCATAGTTTACAAGAGAGCTAGCTGGTCCCAAGCTCCCAACATCCCAGGCTACCTCAGCCATCATCCTCTGATGATTCATCTAAACTAATCCAGTTGTATAAGTGACTTGAAAGACAGTTAGCCTGGAATATATTTCAAACGGTTATTTACTTGAAGAAATTAGCTACCCAAGATCTATCATAGTTTACAAGAGAGCTAGCTGGTCCCAAGCTCCCAACATCCCAGGCTACCTCAGCCATCATCCTCTGATGATTCATCTAAACTAATCCAGTTGTATAAGTGACTTGAAAGACAGTTAGCCTGGAATATATTTCAAACGGTTATTTACTTGAAGAAATTAGCTACCCAAGATCTACCATAGTTTACAAGAGTGCTAGCTGATCCCAAGCTCCCAACATTTCAGGTTAACCCGCTAACCTAAAAGCCCACAGTAGCAGGCCAAGGTATTCCCCAAAAATCTCGCGACTTCCATCTGTAAATCGTCCGGAAACGAGCTGTTCCGTTCAACGAGGCACGCGTTCGCCCATTCATCAAGCCGGCAACAGTAGCGCGCGGAAAGGGAGGTAGCTAGAGTCCTTCTTTCGCTTCAGGCCGCAAATCATCTTAATGCACGGGAACCTCGGGCGAAGCCGGGATAGCTTGGGCCGTGGGCGGGGTAGAATGGGTAGAGAGCAATAATACTCCCCATCTGCACCTCCGTCGCAATAACCCCGAAGTAATCGCGGGAACAAAAATCCAGGGGTAGGATTACGTGTCTAACGCGGAGGCATATCTCAGCGTCGCCAAGAAATCGCAAGAAGATACCCGGAACGGTAAGGATTTCGGGCAACTCGGCGGATTTATTAAATGCAAAATGCTACCAACAAACAATGCTTAATCGCGTACCCCGCCGTCTGCTCCCGTAATCCTTGCTATAGGTAGCAAACGCGGATGAATTCACCCAGGACCTCGGCGGGCCCTTGGTCGGGGGAATGAAATTGACGTTTCTCTGGGTTCGTTTCGCGCCCACCTTCCCCACCCACTAGTATGATAATCCGATCCTCTCTGAGGAGATTCTTCATTTTTACAAGCTCGCCCCAGTCCAGAAGTATTCGCGGAATCCCGGATTTCAGTTGCTCGGATGAAACAACCGGTAGTGGGGGCTGAAAGAAAACACGGTTTAACAAGAACCAGGGACGTACCATGCGGTTGCCACCACCCTGGCAAAATTCATCACGATTGTTTAAAGGCAGGGAAACGCGCTCGGCGAGGAACTTCAGCTCGCCTTCGAAGATCGTCGCTCCCGTGCTCACCGAACCGCGCCACGTTTCCGTCCGCCATTATCGTCATTACTTTATAATGTCGCAGTCCCTGAAGCATGTATTTTCTTAAGAGCATCCCGCGGCCCAATGTTTGAGAGGCGTGTTCTGTTTCGCAATTTTCCACTTTTGCTCGCGTACATTGCAGGGCGGGCTTTCTCGTTTCATTTTCAATGCCTGACCTTTACTGGTTGGTTCTACTTGCGATAATCTTTGTAGACTTTGTCAGTAATAGATTATTAACATTTCACTATAATTTCGGATGAATTGGTGGTTAAGTGATGGTAAGATAAGCGAGGAACACGTGGGAACTCTGTAACTAACTTTAAGTAGTAACAGTCAATTATGTATCAGACACGGAAGTGATTATACTGAAGCTTGATTATCTCGAAAACATAGCCAAATTCAACAAAAACTTATTTTACATTTCCGCGTAAAATCATTCCCCAATTGGTCCCACCACCAAACCCACCCCTCTCCGTGCAATCTCAAATTTTTCTGCTCAGTTCTCGCCGCACCCGCGAGCCGCAAACAATTTTCATTTCCAGATTAAAGAACAATCGTCTGTCAGAATTAATCCGGCAAGGAATTCTCTGGAAAGTTAGCTAGGCCCGCCCCCAACCCCCGTTTCCTTCCACCCTAATTATTTCCTCCTTCACCCCGAGATAAACGGACCGCACTTAGCCCCCGGGGGTGTGGGGATGAAGAATACCAAAAAAAAAAAAAAAAAAAAAAAAAAAAAAAAAAGAAGAAAACAAAGAAAATCATCGTCTCCCCAGGTAATCCAATCCACCCCACGATCCTCGCGTTCTTGTATGATATTCTCCACGCGCAGACAATCGTGGTTGGGGGATGTGGCGGGTAAGAAAACTCGCGTGAAAGGAACGCGGGGACAGAGGGTCGGGAAGAAGGTAGCCGCGATATAATTAGCAGAAACTGGAGTTAGGTCAGAAAGCAAAGTTATCGAGCAGGGACCAGGAAGGAAGGGTGGTTTCGACGGTGCACAAGAGGGGTGGACAGGCTACTCCGGAGCTGCCTAGCTTTGCTTTTTCCTCCGCTGCCGCTGATATAATTACTAATTAATTACTGTTCCCCAAACCACCCCCGAGTTACCGTCACGGTCGTTTCGGTAGCCTAAAAGGACACCGGTGAGAGAGCTCGGGCGACCGTAGGTAAGGATAATTCCTCCCACCATCCCGGACAAAAGTAATGCCTTTCGTTTTAATAATATTGTACCGTACATGGCTCGTACACCATGCCGCCCAGTGGTACCAACTTTCCACTCCTGCTTGGCGAAGCACCTGCGTTCAATGCCTCGCCCCGTAATTGTTTTCCTTTTCCCTCCGAGAAACGGCGACACGGTGGTAAAAATTAGTCGAGGGAAATAGGAACTATAAAATTATTTGAGAAATTGGAAAAAAAGAAACAAATTTCATCAATTGAGAAATCGTTAGGTGGTAAAGTTTCGTTCTTGTAAAATCACTCGTGTGGGTGCATTAGAAAGGATTACTGTAGCAAAATGGAAATACCAATTCGAAAGAAAAAAAAAAATGACATCGGGCGAAACAGATCAACGTCAGAATGACTCTTGCCTCTGGATAATTCTAGGCCCTGGTCTTCTAAGCATAAAATCAATAGGCCATAAATAAATGATTACCAGTCGATTACATCCGACTACCAAATGAAACAGCTGTCAGCCCCGTCTATTAACGGGGCCAATTTCCGGAAACGAATGACCATATCACGTGCCGAAAATTACCGACTTGATCCCAATATCTTCCAGGAACACCTCAGTCCCCCTAGCATCTACACTTCTGGATGCTAGACTGTATGAATCACACGGTCCGTCTACAATTTTACGAGACCATCGGGACCCGCAATTAGAGAACACTGGTGTACTCGCCAGAGTCGACAGAGGGGACGAATTTTCTAAAAACTGCGGAGCACACGTTAATGTCCCCGCACGTGTGTCGTGATCTTCGCTGGCAATGATCGCACCGTAGGGAGGCCATTTGGGGAAAATAAAAGTGGATTAAAAGAACCTCGCCACCGGGGGCTAAAATCAGCGGAAAGAGGGAAAGGATCTTCTGGGGGCGACCAGACAAAAGATGACATAACTGTACAATGAAAACCAGCAATGCTTACTGGGGTCATCTTTCGGTCGATGAGCATATCATAAGACCTAGAAAACGAAGCGTTTTTATGGTCAGAGTATCGTGTAGCGACTGCACAATCGCGTGAGTTGAATATACGGTAAAATACAGATCAGACCTGAATCTAATGGACGGGGCGGCGGAGTTGGTATGGGGTGGAGTAGCGCTAGCGAGCCGCGGGGCAGACCGTTCGAATTTTTCTCCAAACTTTTTCAATCTCCCTTCATCCTGTCGAATATTAAAACACGTCAAGTCCGGGGCTACCCGTAAATCACGAGCACCCGCGGGGGCTCGGACCAGGAGCAACAAAGCCGTCCCTGTGGGGAGGTGGTCGGAAGATTTCGGGCCCGTCGAACGAGAATCAATCGCTCGTCAGAGCCATTAAAAAATGGATTATCGGGGAGGCGAAATTACCAATTTCCACTTAGCCCCGAGGAACTATTGAAAAAGCTTGGACACGCACCAACGGTTTCCAGGTTAAGGCTCCATTTAGCCTAGTCCTCTCCGCCGGTTAATTCGATTTTTATGTATACCCTGAACACCCACACATTCTCTGGCATCTATCCCCTCCCCATCCTCTCCTACATCTCCCACCTGGTACCAGTGGAATGATTGGGTTTCAGGCGGGAATAACTTGATTAAAATAATCTATCACCCGAGCAGTGACAAGGGTGATTGGCTATCTGAGTTAAATATGATGGAGCGGCCACTTTTCCATACGCACACCCCCTCCAACGTCTCTGTCCACACCCCCCCTCCCCCCTGCCCGTCACCATCCCCTTTGTCCTAGCTGGCTCACCAGTCGATTTCATACACCCTCTCTGCCGCGTCTCTCAGTATCGACAGAGGCAAATTGATTGGTAATATGTGGTCACTGGCCGTCCCGCCTATCTCCGTGACATTTACCAACGGAAAT